GTAGCAGTTGAAGATGCAGAGCAGGCGGCTTGGGGCCGCAGTGTAATGCTTGGGGACGCAGCACCGAGCAACTCGGGGCTCAGCTCTTGGGGACCCGTAAGGCCCTACAGCCAGCCTGGCCCTCATCATCCCTGGGGTTCCGTGGTAGGGCTGTGCCCCTCCAGCCCCCCAGCAGTCCCTTGCCGGGGCAGGGGCTGGCCGTGCAGCTAGCTGCTCCACGGGGAGGGTGCCCGCCCCTCCTGGGGACCCTGCTGGCCTCATTTTGGGGTGTCCACTAGAGGGGCTGCCCAGCCCTGGGATGTGCCGCGGCCCCTCAGCTCTGGACCGTCCGGGATGGTTTTGCTGATGTGTCACATTTTCTGCATTTCTTTCCTCATTCCTCTCTCTCTGGAGCCGTTTCTGGGAATGGGCTCGTCCCCTGCCAGGGCCAGATTTCCTCCCACCTTGCCCTGCCTGCTGTCCTGCCCCCCATCCTTCCCACTGCCCTGCTGCCCATCCTTCCTGCTGGTCTGCCTCTCCTCCTGGCCGCTGTCCTGTCCTGGTGGCCTTTGTGCTGTGCCTGGCCTTGTCTCTGCCTGACCCTGCTCTACAGGGCCCCACAGCAAAGGGCCAAGGCTGGAGCTGGGCTGGAGCAGTGTGGGGGACAGGGACAGGGACAGGGACAGGGGCAGTGTCCCAAGCGGGCATGTAGAGCACACATGTGTGCACGTGAGCACGGGCAGCCTGGTTCTGGGACCTTGCTCTGCCCCATGACCCATCCCATGGCCGGGCACGGGACAGAAAGCCTGGCTCAGTGCCACAGACCTGCCTGATGTGTCCAGGAGGAGCCGTCCCGGTCCCTCAGGAAGGATGGAGGGCGGTGGGAGTGGGACGGCTCCAGTTCAGCATCTGTGGGGTTCCAGCCCTGGATGGAGCAGCCCGGCCCAGACACGAGCCCCTGCTCAGCTGGAGCTCATCCAGGCACAGCCTTGAAAGGGACAGGGGACTCGGGGGGGATCCCAGCCCCCTACAGAGCATTGCTCTGCCCGTGTACCGCAGATGCCAAGCATGTGCCGTCCCTGGAGCCGCTGAGAACTGCCAGGGATAGGATGGAGAGTCGCCAGAGGGACATGGAGCTGCTCAGCAACAGCATGGCCGCGTACGCCCACATCCGAGGTGAGTCGGGACGCATCTGGGGGGCACCGCGGGGCCCCGGCAGGCGCGGGGGGGTCCCTCACCCCCTCCTTACCCCCTGCAGCCAACCCCGAGAGCTTCGGGCTCTACTTCGTGCTGGGCGTCTGCTTCGGGCTGGTGCTCACCCTGTGCCTGCTGGTGCTGCGCTTGTCCTGCCGGCCCTCCCCGCGGCCTCCGGCGCGCCCCGACGACCTCAGCGAGGACGACGAGGACGAGGACGAGGAGGACGAAGAGGACACCGTCGACCACGCAGCGTCTGAATCGCTGCTGCCGGTGACCGAGATCCCGCTAGAAGGCCACGGCCCCGGGGACGGGGCGCTGGCCGTGAATGTGTTCGCGTCGGCCGAGGAGCTGGAGCGGGCGCAGCGGCTGGAGGAGCGTGAGCGCATCATCCGCGAGATCTGGCGCAACGGGCAGCCCGACATCCTGGGCTCCGGCACCATCGGCACCCTGGGCCGCGTCCACTACTACTGAGCCCGGCAGCTGCCCTGGCACGGGCTCTGCTCCCGCACCACTGGACCCACACCGTGCCAGGAGGGACCAGGAGGACAGCGGGGCTGCTTGCTGCCCCTGAGCTGGAGGAGCTGCCTTGGACTGTCCCTGCAGCACGGAGAGACAGACCCCAATGTCATTGGCACCCTCGGGGCTGGACTCACCCCCGCCACTGTGGGGCACGATGCACTTTGAGCCATTGGTACGACGGCTGGCACCAGCCGAGCAGCCCCGGGACACACGGGGCAGGGACAGGACAGAGCAGCCCTTGCTGCCCGGCTCAGCCGGGATCTGCCGGGGGTTTCACCCTGTGAGGCACGGCCGGGCTGTGCCGTGGGCCCCTGCCCCACAAACATGGTGCTGTTCTACACGAGCTAGAGCCCAGTGTGGCGGGTCTGGCGTTTTGGGGGGCCCTGGACACAGGGACGGTCTCGGCCCCTCCCCGAGCTAATTTCTTTCCCGGCCCCACTAAAATTAGCCGGGTCTTTTCCGGCACCGCCCGCCGTGACCCAACGCCCTGCGGCCGGACCGAGGCGGATGTTCCTGCTGGACTTTGGGCCGGCCGCTGCTCCCCAGGGATGCGGCAGCTCCCGCCGGGCTGGGCTGCATCCTGCCCCACTCACAGCCCCACGGGGTGCTGGCCCCCCTTCCCTAGCAGCTTTATAAAAATAGCTCCTTCCCAGGCTGGTTCCCCCCCGCCGCCAGCGCCAGCAAAATCCAGATGTTTTCCAGATGTTCTCCAATGGCTGGAGGCCAGGATGGGCTGGGACTGGAGCTGGCCTGGGAAACTGTGCGGGGGTGGAGGCAGAGGAGGGAGAGCTGGAGGGAGAGAAGGAGGAGACCCTGCCCCAACCCTGCCCTGGACACCCCATCCTTGTGCCACGGTGGGACCCTTTGTGCCCGGCAGGACCAGGCCAGCCCTTCAGGGGCATGGCAGCCAACAACAGAGCCCTGAGCAGCTCCCACACAGAACTCTGTACCCAAAACAGTTTATTTTAAACAATTTCTATAGATCCAGGGGCTGTTATTCTTCAAGGAGCAGTGTCTGGGTGTGGGGTGGGCATTTGTACCCAATGGGTGCAGAACTGGGCTGGGGGCAGCGAGGCCAGGGGGGTACACGGAACCATGTGCCACCCACCTGCCCTGTTCCATAGGCGGGCACCGTAGCCCCCACATGCTAACTGGCCAGCCCCTTCCTCACTTGCTCTGTCTACACCTGTGGGGAAAGGCTGTGATTGTTGGGGGACATAGGGAACCCCAGGATGAGGCAACCCCTGCCAGGGACTCACCTGCAGCGCCTGGCGCTGAGTCCGCTCCTGGCACAGCTCTTGCTGCAGGTCCTGAAGGTCCCGCCTGCAACACGCCAGGATGGCTCAGCCGGGGCCAGAACAAGCAGCAAATGGCCAGGAGCCACTGGGGACTCCCTGACACCCCCATCCCCACTCACAGGTGCTGGACTTGCATCAGGTCCACAAGGATGTGCAGGGTGAGGACCTCAGCCTTCAGGTCCTCCAGGGCTACTGACCTCCCCTCCAACACCTCCAGCCCATCTGTGCTCCATGGCGGGACAGACACTTGTCCTGAGCTGGGGACAGGGGCACAGAAGGCAGCATGGGGCAGCCCCTGGGTCTGCTCTCCCTCACAGGGTCCCCCCATGCTCCCTGGGGCGATGCTGGGTGGCTGCTGGCTGGGTACTTGTGGCCGCATGGCTGTGGGGTGGCTCAGCCTGGCTGTGGTAACCAACACTGTGTTGAAGCCATTGGCATCTGCCAGAGAAAGAACAGGAATCAGCACCTGGTCCTGGGCAGGGCCCAGCCACCCCTGCAGCCCCTGCACGGCCCCTGCAGCCTACCTGGGTCACCGGCTGTGCCCTGCTCCATGTCAGCTGAGGCACTAGGCTGGGGGTCACTGGGCCTGGGGACAGCAGAGTTGTGAAGTGGCACAGCTGGGGAGCTGCCAGCCCCACACCAGGACAGCCACAATGGGGCTGGCACTGGGACATTGCAGTGGCCCTGGACACCCCAGTACAGCCACTTGTTTCTTACTTGGTGGCCAGCACGGGGGCTGGTTTGGACTTGGCAGGAACTGGGGGAGCAGGAGCCATCCTCTTGGTAAATGGGAGCTTGGTTGGTTTCATCCTTGCTGGTGCTGGGAGTTCTGGAGAGAGGCAGGAGCAGGGCTGAGGCTGGGACTGGCACTGACAAGAGTGGGGCAGGAAGTGCTTCCTGCATGTGCCATTCCCTGGCCCAGGGGGCCTCGCCCAGGCACATCCCTGTCCTTCCCTCTCCTCCAGCCCAGGACTCACTCCCTGTCCTCACCCTCACAGTCCATCTGTGGCTGCAGCTGCTGGGGAGCAATGGGGCTCATCAGGTGCTGGGGAAGGACCCTTGTGAGAGGTGAGGCCTCTCACAGCCCCACACCAGCCCTGCTGTGGTTGGCGTTTCCTCCGTGTGTGGCAGAGCAGCAGCAGCTCCCTTGAGCACCAGTGCTGCAGCAGGGGCAGGATGCCATTCCACCACCATCACAGCAGCACCGCTGCACCCTGGGGTCATGCCAGGACAAGCCCACTGGCGTGGTGTGACACAGGACATCAGGCCATGGACATGTGCCCATGGACCACCCTGTTCTCACAGCAGGTCCCCCTGTCCCCATGGTCAGCTGCACTGTCACTGTAGTGGGTCATCATGTCCCTGTGGTGGGCCAGCAGCCCTGATGGTGCCTGGTGCTTGCTGCTGTCACCAGCACAGCCCTTGTCACAGAGACCTTGCAGACACCAAAGATGTTGCTGGTATCACCCAAAGATATGGCTGAAGCTCCAAGGGCTGCAGGGATGAGGACACCCCTATCCAAGGCCCCAGTGCTCCTCCGCTCTGGTGGCTCCAGGGGTGATGGTGCTCAGAGGTGCTTGGCATCCTGCCAGCCCCTTATGGGCAGCTCTCCTGGAGCCCAGGGCACGGCCCAGCCCTGGAGCAGTGTGATCCCACACAAGTGCTGCCGTTGGGATGATCCCTGTGCCCGGGACCCTCGAAGACGCCACTGCTCCCCTCTACCTGCTGATGTGGGGCTGCCCCCGAGGCCGAGTGGTGCCGTGCAGTGCCAGGCTTCCCCAGCCCCATACCACACGTGTGATGCCAGAGGAAATCAGCTCTGTGCTGGGAAGGAAGTTGAAGCAGAGCACACCTCGGTGCTGGTCCACACCGCATCCCCGTGCCCCACCAGAGGACTCCTGCTCCGGAGCCAACCTCGTGCCCTTCCTGGGGCTGCCTGGCCATCCTAGCGGGATACCAAAGCTCCCAGCACATGATGGACACCAGGGCCAGACCCACGGGACTCTCTGTGATGGGAAGGCAGCGTCAGCCTCGGCTGTGGGAGAGGGTTTGGGTGAGGATGGGATCGCAGGCAGGGACCGCTGGCACAGCAGAGCCCCACAGAGCCGTGTGTCCCCTGGCCATCCCCAGCTTGGAGCCCCCACCCACCCACCTTCTCCGGCCCTGGGCAGGGCTGTGCCATCTGTGCCACCGTGGGGGTCCCTGTGTGACAGAGCTGCAATTGCAGGGGCAGCTGGGGCCAGTGCATGGGTGAGAGGACCGCAGCTGGGTGACAGCTCACACTCACCAGGGTCTCACAGTGGTTCTGTCACCCTGAGCCAGAGGGGAAGTGAAACCCAAACCACAGAGGGGCCAAAACCCACAGACTGTGTGACACCAGGGATCCTGGCTGGTCCTGGCCTGTGCCTGGTCCAGGAGACAGCGTGGATATTCCTTCTGGCCAAATGCATTTGACCCAGGCAATTGAACTGACAGCAGGGCCGGGAATCAGCCATGGAACAAAGCAGGATGGCAGAACAGAGGTTCCACTGCAGACCAGGAGGCTGCACTCCCCAGGTGTGGCCACTCAGGCCAAGGAGCTGGGAACACTGGGCACCTCAGGCTGGCTCAAGGCTGAGTGTGACAAGAAACACCAACTGCTATCCCAGCACTGTCCCAACAGCTCTTGGCCAACACCGTTACCCACAGCAGCCAGGAAATATGAATTTCTGCAAACCCCACACACCCAGCGGCCTCCCCAGCACCCCTCTTGGGACAGCAGTGATGGAAAAGCAGCAGCAAGGGCAGCACACGGGGCTGCAGTGTGTCCCTTGTGAGCTCCTGGGAGGAGCTTGGGTGTGGGAAGTATAGAGCTGGTCCTGTGCATGGGTGACACAATCCCTGCTGGTATCAGGCTGGGGAAGGGCCTGTGGCTGTGTCACAACTGTCCTCAGGCACTTAATGCCAAAACAGGGGCTGAATGATCTATTAATGTATAAAACCCGACAGGGAGTTGCTCCCCTGTTGCTCCAGGCACTTGGTCCTTTCAGGCTCCCCCCTGGCAACTCAGGACACAAACCAAGCAGAGTTACACCTACAACTTATTTTATTGTCTTTTATTTGCATAAACAAACTTCAGGGCTTTGCTAAACAGGAACTGTTCAAGTCAAAACAAACCAAACTCTAGCTGGTGTGTGGGGAACAGCACAGCAATCCTGGGGAGAGGGACAGGGGGAGCACGGGCACAGCTGTGCCTCCCCGCCCAGGCTCACGACCTGGCCGGGAACCCTCCACAAACTGCTCCAGAATATCTTTAAAGTAGAAGATAAGAAGAAATGCATCCTAAGGGCTATCCTCAACCAGCTCTGGAGGAATCTGCTTTTTGGTTTTATAAAAAGATTAATAAAAAATATTGAAAAATTCTCATCTCCATTTATATTTTTCCCCAAGAAGAATTCAGAAGTTCCTTAGAAAACTGTCACCTTTGAAAGGGCACTCGGGTCACAACCAGCTGCAGGGAGGAGACACAAATGCTACAAGCAGTTTGGGGGTCCAGCACACACCAGGCCTAATAGTGAACACAAACAGTGGCCAGAAGTAGGGTGTAATTTTTTTTTTTCTCTTTTAAACCATGCTAATTTTGTTAACTTCCAACATAAAAGGAAAACAATAATTTTTAAAAGGCCCTAAACTCAACTGCTACATAAAAAACGGTTAAAAAAAAAAAAAGTCATAGCAGTTTGGTCCCAACAAGTGAACATTTAGATGTTTACTCACATGCTTCATTGTTTTCTTATTTATAAGAACAAAAAATAATTTCCAAAATCATCTCTGAATTGATGCTACTACGTATGTAAAGGCCTAAAATAAGCAGAATTTAGAAAATTGAATACACAATAGGGGAGGAAAATTTGAGCGGGTGAGTAAACCCCGACTGTCACTGGGTCAAATTATAAAAGAAAAACAAAATGTCAGGACAGGTGGGGTCAGGTGGGCACAAGCTAAAACCACATCGTCCTCAAAGCCTGTTACCAAAAAATAACTGACTGACCATAAGGTCACAGAGAAGGGAAAATCTGGGGTCTCACCCAGCACTTGACCGTATCCAGTCCAGAAGGGAAGTCTTTGGGAAGAGAAACTCCAGGAGTGGATCCGAGCGTAAATGATGGATCAGTCCCAGTCCGTGCTTGGGGAGGCTGAACTCTGGAAATGCAGTTAAATAGCATCGGGATGGTTTCCGAGCTGCTCTCCAGGGCTCTGCTCAGCACGTGGGGATCACCCTGACACCCCAGCACCAGCCTGACCCCTCCCCTCCTGCCAGGGCTCCCAGAAGTGCGTGGACCCCGCGGCTACTCGGCCGTCGTCTGCAGGGCGTCCTTTTCCTCCCGGTTTTCTGTTCCACTTTCGTCGTCTTCGATTTCTCCCTCTTCCCCACTGAACTTGTCATGAGCCCACTTGGGGCTGGTGCTGGACTTGCGGAACATGAAGCGGCCTCTTCCCCGGGGGAAGGCACCACGGCCGCGGCCCCTGTTCACCCACTTGTCAGTGCCCTCGCCCTCACGGTCGTCGTGCTGCACGGGAAGCCAAGGACAGCAGGTGAGACAGGCTGGCACCGCCCTGCACCGCGCCTCTGCGACCGCCCTTGGGAATCCACTTAATGGGAACCACTCTACAGGGAGCAGGAACAAGCTCTCTTTAGGCACGAGCCGGCAGCTGCCCGTGAAGCGTCACCCGAAGCCTTACCTGGTGTGTCAGTGACAGTGGGTGCTTTCACCTCTAAAGCACCTGAGACCAGACACACCCAGAGCACATGGATGTCTCAGCACCCAGGTACGTACCAAATAGTATTTCTTGCTCTTAGGTGTGTACTCGGGGTCCCACTCCTCTTCTCTGCTGCGCTTCTGGAAGTCGTTGTTGCCACTGCTGTTGCTGTTGTTGTTGCCTGAGAAGTTCCCTCTGCCCCATCCTCTCCCTCGAGCTCTGAACTGCTGCAACAGCAACACACAGGAGAAAAATAGAACGGCTGCAGAGGCAGTGTCCTCCCACCCCAGCCAGCTTCCAGGGCTCCCAAGATATCCAACATCCCTTGTCTGACCATTCAAAACACTTGTAAAACCTACCACTAAAGCAAGAGGACAGCTTTAGCGTGGCCGCACTACCCCCTGCACTTGCAGGCTTGGGTTTTTAGTTCATCTGATCACACAGCACATCACAGTTCCTGTAAAGCTGGTGAGGATCACAGAGGCATTTCCAGGGCAACCCCAAGCAGGTGAGATCACTCTGTACACGGAGTGTAAACATAAGTGTGGCCAAACCCCAATAGAAGCACAACGTGTGCTCATTGGGATTCTCAGCATCACTAAAGCACAGAAGCTTCCAGGCTTTGTTCTGCTCCTCCCATCTGGAGCTTGCTGCCCACAGCACATCCCCAGCAGCCTGGTTTATGCCCCAGAACTGGAGCGATTCCACTATGGCTCATCACCCTGAGGGCTTCTCCTCTAGGGCAGCTTTAACTGACTGAGCAACACACAACGACCACTTCCTGCCCACTTTGAGAATCAACTCTCAGGGCACAGGTGGACAACATTTGGGGCAGGGGTGGAGAACACTTACAAAGGTTCCTCTTGCTCTTCCTCTCTCATTTGGACCAGTGAATTCCTTAGTCCCAAGCCGGGACTTGTCAAAGCCTGTGGAGCTCTCCTCCCTCTCCTCAGTCTCCTCGGGATACTCCTCTGCTTTGACTGAATGAGAGGACCACGAAGACGATGAGCTGGATCTGGATCTCTCACGCACCCGTCGGTGTTTCCTGTTTCAGTGATGGGAACAGAGGGGAGTGGCACACAACAGCATTAGGAACTCAGCTATGATCCATCTGATACAAACCCTCTTCTTTATCACTTTCTTATCAATGCCATGCTCTCCTTTTCCTACTAAAAGAGGAAAAGACATACTAAGAGCTCAGGTTCTAACACAGGGCCCAAGATCTCTCCAGAAGGAACTTGTTGCTCCTTCCTAAGGTGTTTACACCATCTCCTCTCAGCTTAGCACACACCCATGAAGTTTTAGTAAAATGGAAAATTAAGCTAGTAGAAAAGGATTAAATGAACATCAAAGCCAAGTCATTTTAACATGGCCATTTCTCTCTGACACAACAGGAACAAGAAGGAAAAGTGACTCACCCATCCTGACACATGGAGCTTTCCCATCTACCTTTTACAATTATTTAGTGTTTCTGAGATACAATGATAGCGAGATCACACACAGAGGAGTAGCTCAGGCCACTGGAGGAGTTATGTCACAGGTGCACAACTGTGTGCAAAACTGTTGTACACGGTGTTATCTCCAACCTGAGCAGCAGAGACACGGGAGGCACAAGGAAATGGCTACTGGGTTTCCTACATACTTTTTCTTTGAGCCTTTGTGACTTTTCTCCGTTTTCTCAGCTGATCTTTCCCTTGAGTGACTTGAATCTCTCGAGTCCACCGACTCCCTGGATTTATCGCGTTTAAGATCTCTTTCCTTATGTTTTTTACGGCGTTCAATATCAAGGCGCAGATCAACAGGGTCGTCCTTATATTTCCCTTCAGCCTACAAATGCAGGGGAGAGGGAGGGCAGAGTTGAACATGAGGCCTGCAGTGCCCCAGCTCAGCACCATTTACTTTGCTACTGACTGCACAGACTTCTGGAGAACTGGAGTTTAACTGAGCACTAATGAATATTCCACTTTAATATGTCAAATAATGCACTATTCAAGTCTGTCTTTGTCAGAATTCAATTTTCCTGCACTTAAAATCACTGCTTCTTAAACTTTTAATCTCCTCTTTAAACAGCATTAAAATAAACAGTCTGCTAGAGGGGAGGGAGACATGGAAGCTGACACTTATTGTACACCACAGCCAGCAAGAATGTGAACAACTTGGGAATCCCATCCAGCTGATTATGGATCACAAGTACAGTGTGGCAGAACTCTTTGACGGCCCATGGGTGCACCTGAGGCCCTGCTGAGAGCCTCACCTGGGCAGGGGCCAGAGGGATTTTAGTCCCCAGGTCTAGAAGTGATACCCTGGGAGAAGCAAAAGCTCTTTGCTGCTTGGAGCTACCCAAGATTAGTGATCCAAGGGGGAGGAGGAGGCCAGTGAAAGGCAGCATCCAAGAAGTCTGGGAAAAGGCCAACATCCCATGGATAGGGAGGCGTTACTACATCTGTCAGGAAGATTTACTTGGTGCAGATGCCACCTGCAGCTCCTTCCCCTGGGCTGGAGGGCAGCAAGTGACAGGTGCTACAAAGCCCCACAGACACATCATGTCTGTCTCCCACAATCCTGCCAAGTCTGCTAAAGCAAGCTGTCTCACAGAGCAAAAACCCACCAGCTGCATGAAAAATTAAAACTAAATTTACATTGCTAATTAAAAACAAACATAAAAGACACCTGGTAATGCTTGCTTGGAGCTGTATTTAAATTGGTACTTCAAGAAGAGATTAGGAGTTTCTCTGGGAAAGGAGCAGTTATTTTCCCTGTGCTTCCTTTGAGCCCTGTGGCACGTGGGTGAGATTCTGCTACCTGCCCAAAGTGACAGTGGCTGTGGTTTGAAAAACAGGCAATTGGGCAGCAGGAGGACTGCAGGAAGCCTTACACCATGTTGGTACCAACACCCAGCCTCAGCCATTGCTACTGCATTTACACAACACTCATCCTGGGAACTGTACAACTTGATATGCAACATACATCAAATTAAGTGTCTTCAATTAAATACAAAAGGATTAGTAATTCTCTAGCTGTTAAATTTTTTACTTACATGAGTTTCTAACCACTTTTTTGTTTAAATAAATATGTCAAATAACGCAGGAGTGAGAGCAGGCATTTTGTTTTGGTATTTTGCTCTTCTACTTTCCCCAGGCAAAGAGCTTTAATTTCTACTCTGAGAATAAAACTGCTCCCAACACGATGGATGACAGATAAGTGACAAAATCAGCAGCAGCTCCCTTATGTGGCACAGCAAACACCTATTTGGGTTTGGGAGGGCACGTCTGTTTCACGGAAGGCTGGCGAGCTGTTTGGAAACCACGTTTATAACACACTCTGCCAAGCTGATGCTCAGAGTTCAGGCCCATCAAATCCATCTCACCATCGTCCATGTCAAGCCACAAGTGTGTTTGGAAAAAACCGAAAACAAATATGAAACAAGTAAGGTTTCAGCAGGACTGGTTAAAATCTCTTCAATGTAAATATGTATGAAGGTGAATAAACAAAGGTTAAAATCTCAAACATTTTACGTTAAGCCTTTTTTATGATTGTTTACAGTGAGTGCAATGGCTTAACATTCATCTACTCAGCAAAGCTAAAACACTCAATCCCAAATGCTCTGGACCTAAGACAAGTGCTGAATGTTAAAGTAACAGCAATCAACAGAAATGGCACAGTCAGTTGTTAGAACAAAATTTATAATAGTGTAGCTTAACAGTGTATCTGCTTTAGCTCAGCATTTAGGTTTACTTTCCTCTTTTTGACATGCATGTCTTTGAAAACATGGTTGGCAAAATTGCACGTAACAATGGAGTTAATCATACTTACAAGCAGAAAAATATCACAAAAAGTCTCTTCTCTCATCATGGGCACTTGTTCCAAAAATCCTCTCTTTTTTCTCAAGCTCACCTCAATTGACTTTGGGGTCATTTACCATAGTCTAACCACTTCACAAAGGTTGTTGATACACTTTTAATAAAAAT